GAAATACATTTACAATTTTTTCATTTTACAATTTTTTTCCAATTACCGAGGAGCACAAGCAAATATGTGCTGTTCACTGTAATGTAATTAATTACACGGGGGGGCCTAAAAATTGACACCAAATCGGCATTTTGCACCTTTTTCGCACCTCAACTATTTTTGAATTAGCTGTCATTTAAATTGCTTCAAGTTATTTATAATGCAATACGACACACTCTCATAATTAGATTAACATACCTTTGATGACATTTCTGACATTTTTTTAAACAATTATTGCCTTAAAAGCAAAACATATAAAGAATTGAAGATAACGATATTTCTGTTAATCTTAGATATTCATAATATGTAAACCATATTTTCGGATCGAGGAAATGTACTTTTTGATATCTACAATACGGGGGTTTTCAATATTACCAAGGAATAAATAACTTTTCCTGCAGTGGTGAGCGAGAGTAGTTGCTTTTTTTAAAAAATTTTTTTCTTCACTTTTTCGAAAAGTAATTTTACTTATTTTATTTATTTATTTATTTATTTATTTATTTATTTATATTTTTCTGTTTGCTACATAATTTAGTAATAATTTGGAAATGCTACATTTGGCCCCAGTGCAAATGAAACTCTTGTATTCACCTATAAATCCAATCTTAAATAATATTGTTCAAGAAGCTGCTAATTCATTAGATTTAGATGGCTTTGAAGGTTTTCCGGACAGCGTAGCGATGGAAATGGCGTTACTTGATAATAACGTATTAGCTGGAATACAATTTAGCGAATTGTGGTCAAATATAGATTCATATCCGGAAAAATTTTCTTATTCGATAAGATTCCCAAGTGAATTAAGAACTTCGGTCAGTAATCGAGAGCAAACTTGGCTAACAATGAAATTATTTTTACCCTTTGATATTACTGGGCCAAGAAATATCAACGCAACGGATGGTGGCTTGCCAGTGGGTTATCTACGAGAAGGTTTTCTGCCCGTACAGCATGCCATCTCTATGGCTTATATGAAATTGCTGACTGATCGAGACGATATACCCGAAGTTTATATGCAACGCTATCCGTATCCTGAATATATATTTGATCCACTATTGCAAGGTTTAGCTGCGATGATGCCGTTCATTATATTGCTGAGTTTTATCTATCCATGGACATCTATAGTAAAGGTAAGAACGTGAAATGAAAATCATATTTTCTGAAATAATTTTGATTATTGTTCGTAGTATGTAACCGCGGAAAAGGAGAAACAATTGAAAGAAGTTATGAAAATAATGGGTTTGGATAGTTGGATACATTGGACGGCATGGTTTGTAAAATGTTTTATAACATTGGGCATATCAGCCACTTCCATAGTTATATTAATGAAGGTTTGCACATTGTTTTACTATGAAATTTATATTTATCTACCACTTATTAACGCATTTTCATTACAGGTTGAATGGAGTGATGACGTGGCAGTATTAACTTATACGGATTGGTCCGTTTTATTGATATTTATGTGGATTTATGTTATAGCCAGTATATGTTTCTGTTTTATGTTAGCGACGATGTTCTCGCGTGCTAGTACAGCGGCTGCTGTAACCGGTTTGGTCTGCTTTATTGCTTATCTGCCGTTTTCTTTTATGGATAGGGATTATAACGACCTCAGCTTGGGTACTAAACTAGGCTGGTCTTTAATTTCTAATACGGCTATGGGTTTCGGTTTTAAATTAATAATGGGTCACGAAGGCAACGGTGAAGGCCTGCAATGGAGTAATCTTTTTGAACCGATCAACGTCGATGATGATTTCACTGTCGGTTATATTATGTTAATGATGTTGCTCTCTTCTGTCATTTATATGCTGATATGTCTGTATGTGGAACAGATTTTTCCTGGTAATTTTGGGGTACCAAAAAAATGGAATTTCCCTATCACTGCGCTATGTTGGTGGAGGGAAAAAGATTATGTCGGTGCTGAAGCTATGCCAAATTGTGTTCATATTCCACGCAAGAATCCAGAAGCCTTTGAATTGGAGCCATCGGGCAAACATGTGGGCATAGAAGTGAAAAACCTTAAAAAGGTATTTGGTCCGAAGTTGGCTGTGAATGGTTTGTCGGTGAATATGTATGAAGATGATATTACTGTACTTCTTGGACATAATGGGGCTGGAAAAACCACTACCATTTCAATGTTGACTGGTATGCTTCCACCATCTTCGGGTACGGCTATTATTAACGGCAGTGATATTACAACGGATCTTGATGGTGCTCGTATGTCTTTGGGTGTGTGCCCTCAGCACAATGTACTATTCGACAATTTAACAGTTGCCGACCATTTAAAGTTTTTTAGTCGTCTCAAAGGCTTAAAGGACGATGCCGTCGAAAAAGAAGTGAACAAATATCTTAAAATAATTGAATTAGAGGATAAGAGAAACGTAGCATCGAAAAAGTTATCAGGTGGTATGAAACGTAAACTATCAGTATGTTGTGCACTTTGCGGTGATACTAAAGTCGTTTTATGTGACGAACCTAGCTCGGGCATGGATCCAGGCGCCCGCCGACAATTATGGAATTTATTGCAGGCTGAAAAGGCTGGACGGACTATCCTTCTAACCACACATTTCATGGATGAGGCTGACGTTTTAGGAGATCGTATTGCTATCATGTGTGACGGTGAACTTAAATGTTGCGGAACACCGTTCTTCCTGAAAAAAAAATATGGTTCCGGTTATAAATTGGTGAGCGCAAATAATTCCAATTGCACTCTCAAACGAGTGAAGGCCTAATATAGTTTTATAGTCTTACCTTTTTTTATTTTTTTATTTTTGGTTTGTAGATATGTGTTAAACGAGATGACTGTAATGTAAACGAGGTCACTGCTTTATTACGTAAATATGTTCCCAATTTGGAGATAGAGACCGACATAGGCGCTGAGTTATCCTATCAATTACCCGATAGCTATTCAAATTTGTTCGAGGAAATGTTCAGGGATTTGGAGGAGAACTCTGAAGGATTACAATTAAATGGTTATGGCATTGGTATAACATCTTTGGAGGAAGTTTTCATGAAAGTGGGCGCTGAAAAAGCGTCAGATGATAAATCGATAGATCATGATGACGACGATAAAAAATTTGCAAACAGTAAGTATGACAAAGAGGACTCCATTCTTAAATATATCGCCTGATATTCCTTTTAGGTAATAATAATTTTACTACAAGAACAACACGTCTACTTGGTGGCTTGAAATTGTGGGAGAATCAATGGCACGCAATGCTGTTGAAGAAATTTCTTTACACTTATCGCAATAAATTAATGTTTTTCATACAGAATGCGATGGCGATTTTTTTCGTGGTAGTTACGATCTTAATAACTCGCACTCAAGGCACCTTTCGTCAATTGCAACCAATGACAGTTTCTTTAACCCAATATCCAACGGCAGTAACAGTCCTAGAGCGTTCATCAGATATAATTTCGAATTCATTGAATGCCAAAATTGCAGATCATTATAAGGAAATTGCTACATCATATGGCGAAGATTACACATTCGAGTCTACAAATGAGAAAAGTTTTCGGGATTATATACTAGAATTGGGGAGTAAAGCTCAAGTGCGTATTAATGCTCGTTACTTGGCTGCAGCTTCGGTGAGCTCTAACAATATAATAGCTTGGTTGAATAATCAGCCATTGCATACGGCGCCTCTCACTGTCAATTTAGTGCATAATGCGATGGTTAAGTAAATATTTCCTATATGAGTATGCGTAACGATAAATAATATATATATATATATATATATATATATATCTATCTGCTTTGTCTTTTTATATATATGCTCTTGAAGGGCTCTAAAAGGTGAAGCGTACGCGATAGAAGTAACAAATGCTCCTTTGCCATATTCTACACAAACTGTTCTATCTCAACTTAATACGGGAAACAATTTAGGAACTCAGCTGTCAACTAATTTGTGTTTCTGTTTTTGCTTCATAAGTGCCTTATATATTTTATTCCTGATTAAAGAACGCGAAACACGTTCGAAATTATTGCAACTTGTTGGCGGCGTTAATGTGTGGACATTTTGGTTATCGCAACTGTTATGGGATTTATTCACATTCATTATCACTGCTCTTATTGTAATTATCGCAATGTCCATCTTCCAGGAAGATGGCTATTCAACGTTTAATGAATTAAGTAAATTTTTTTTGCATGACCTCAATTCAATTTCAATTCTTAATGGATTTTTAATCTTTTCTTTTTGGCAGTGCGTTACTTCTCCGTCTTAATATTGTTTGGCTTTTCCGTGCTTCCATTCACTTATTTACTCTCATTCCTCTTTAAGGAGCCGGCCAACGGTTTTGCATATGTTTCCAGCATTAATGTTCTTGTTGGTAAGTTTTCTAAATCAATCAATTCTCGTCGGATATAGATTATGTGGTCATCAGAGGGTACAAAAATCAAATTCAATTTTTATTAACATTTCACTTTGCTAATAATTTTTTTTTTTTATTCTGGATAGTTATATATTTAGAATGGTTTTTTAAATCGATTCAAGCTATATATATATATATATATATATATATAATACGGAAACAGTAGCGGACAAACAAGTTTGAATCGATTTAAAAAACCATTCTAAATATATATATATATATATAGCCTTTTTCTGAAGGGCTTACTATTATTCATGAGAAGTCTTATATGGAATGAGGTCCAAAAAATCGATCCAATTTGTTCTACTTGAGCAAATTTTTATTATAAAATAAGAACAATTAGTCCTTTTTAGCATATAAGGCTTCACAATTCCTGAGAATCGTAATAGGCGTTGGTATACAAAAAATCGACCTACGTGGATCAACTTCGATTTCGATTTCTTTGTCAATTTACTATTACGCAATAAACTTCAGCATGAAATGCTCAAAATTATATCTTTTTATCATATCAAGATTGCATAGGGACAGTTATATGGGAGGGGGTTCAAAAAATTATTCCAGTCGAACCAAGTTTTTCACACTAATCTTATATCGAGTTGCTATTAACCAGCGAGTTTGGTCGAAAAATGTCGAAAATTATAGCTTTTTTTCCCCTATAAAACGACTTTTTAAAATAACGCTTTACTTGAGGAGTGGTCGGGAAAGTGGAACGATCCGAAACATTTCCAATAGCGTTCATTCTTGGGTCAATGAAAATCAGTCTACCAAATTTCACGGAAATATTTCAAAAATTGCGACCTTTAGGTATACATGAACAGACATGACACGGACAGACAATCTTAGATCGAGTCAGAATCATTTTCAATTGGTATAAATGAAGTTGCGTATATCTTATACCCTTTGGGGGTATTGCATATATCCGCACAAATCTAATATACCTTGTATCACAAGTAGCGTAGGGTATAATATATATATAAAAAGGTATTGTACTAAAGCGATGTGAGGCAGAGTGTTTGTATATTGGTCTTTGATGCCTTCAAATCTAGTTTCTAGCTCGTGACATTTTTGGTTGGCAAGTGTAATAAGCCGAGTATTATTTTTTATCATATGAAAATAAATGCGATCATAATTCCAAAGTTCCATTTTATATGTAATATAATTTTGTTATTGCAGGATTGGCTTTATTCCTCGTAGTGCTGGTGATGTCTTTTGAAATTTTCGATACGAAAGATACGGCGGAAATTTTGGGCTGGATATTCCGTATTTTCCCACATTTCTGTTTAGCGATGGGTCTAAATAAATTGTATATGAACGGAGCCACAAGGGAGACGTGCAGTAATCGTGTTATTGATATGTTGCCAGATGCCTTAAGATGTCAATTTGTACCGAGATGTTGTGGTGAGAAGCCGGTAACACCGTATGATTGAATTTGAAATTAAATTTCAATTTTAACGATTAGAAAGCGTATCATATTATGATTGGAACGAACCTGGTATTTTGCCGGAAGTTGTTTATCTGTTAATAACTGGAGTCGTATTCCTTTTAATTGTTATTGCCGTTGACTATGGCTTCATAAATGAATTGATTTATCGAATACAATCGAGAAATTTGTGAGTATATAATTGCTATATTGAATTATATATGTGACTTTGCATAAACTTGATTTAATTCATTTAGACAGCCTTCGCCACCCGAAGACGATTCCGATCCTGTTGACGATGATGTTAAACGCGAGAAACAATATATTGAGAAAATGTCGTTAAACGAATTGAGAATTCAAAATTTAGTCGTGGATCGAGTTACCAAATATTACAAAAAATTTTTGGCTGTTAATCAATTGTCCATATGCGTGAAACCGTACGTGTTTATCATCATTATTGCAATAAACTATTTGATCATTTCAATTATAATTTGTCACATTCTATTACAGAGAGGAATGCTTTGGTTTATTAGGTATAAATGGTGCCGGTAAGACCACCACCTTTAAAATGTTAACTGGTGACGAGCGCATCTCTCACGGTACAGCTTATATTCGTGGTATGAATTTATCTATCGAAAAGAGTAAAATTTATAAGGAAATTGGTTATTGTCCACAATTCGACGCTTTATTGGACGATTTAACTGGTCGGGAAACTTTGAAAATATTTTGCCTAATTAGAGGCATAAGAAAGGAAAACATTGATGAATTATCGGAAGAGTTGGCTAAGTCGTTTGGTTTTATGAAGCATTTAGATAAAGAGACTAGAGCTTATAGCGGTGGTAATAAACGTAAATTGAGTGCAGCTATCGCTGTAATTGGTAGTCCTTCGGTCATCTACTTAGATGAGCCAACAAGTGGAATAGATCCGGCTGCTCGTAGACAATTATGGAATATGGTATGCCGGATACGGGATTCGGGCAAATCAATTATTTTAACTTCGCATAATATGGAAGAATGTGAAGCCCTTTGCACCCGTTTGGCGATTATGGTAAATGGCAAACTGAAATGTATTGGATCTACGCAACATTTGAAAAATAAATTCTCCAAAGGTCTAATACTAAAAATAAAAGTCAAAAGCAGTATAGTTTTAGGATCCGCTAGGTAAGAAATTATAAATAGCATAGGATGTATGTATATTCGTTCCATCGAAACGTTCTGAGAGAGAGAGAGAGAGCTATAAAGTACATATATTCTTGATTACTATCAAATTGTTAGTCGATATAGGCGTGTTTGCCTTTCGGTCTGCCCGTTTATTCATCACTCCGTCTGGGTTAATATTCTCCTGATTGGTTTCGAATTTGGCGTAAACATTAAAAACCTCTTGCACGCAAATTGCTATTCAAAATGGGTCGAATTGATCAAATGCAACATAAATTAAGAGTCCCGCGGTTTTCGAAAGCAAAAAAAAAAAAAAAAAAAAAATGTACATTATTTACAAACTATGTGAGTTATTAGCGATAACAGCTTTCATGTATGTTCCCCAGTATAAGTAAAAAACTGCAAACAATTCGGTTACGCTCACTCAATATTATCGAGCAACGAAATTTTCTATATATATGTATATATATATGTCGACCCAAATCTAGAATGAATATAATTTTCTCAACTCTTTCTTTTGATTATATTTTAAAGTGTACATTAATTGAAATTTTAACGTTCTTTGATTGCTTATAAAATTATTTTGTAGCAGCAGGATGTCTTTGCTAAGAAGTACATCAGTATCACTTTCTGTACCTGAACAAGAAGCAAGATATGTTAAACAATTTGTCGAAGTGGAATTTCCTCAAGCTGTATTAAAGTAAGTATATAGAAGTATAAGATTCTAAGTTAGCAAATATTAGGTGTTTTGTGTTGTTCTCTTGGCTGAAATCTGCGAAATATCTCCGTAAGTAATCAGATTGGTTTGAAAAGTTATGACTTATCGATTGGATATGGAATTTGAATGTATTCAAGAAACATTTGATAGCACGGCATAAAAATGCATCTGTACTGCTCATCAAAGGAATTATAACTTTTCAGCCTTTTTCGAAATCCAACTATTTATCTCTTACTTTATACTATAGTTCACCTCTTCTTGTACTTTTTATACCATATAGCATTTATGCTATATTGTATGTTTGTTTGTGTGAACGTATGTAACACGCAGAAAAGCTTAAGATAGATCCATCTCTTATTATACCCGAAACATTTTCGGAATCGATTTAAGCCTTCCTTTCCATATGCCCGTCTAATGTCAATCCATCTGATGTCTGTTCATGTGAATTTTTGTTTAAGCTATAGGGCATAACTTTTGAGATATTTTGATGAAATTTAGCATACTGACCTGTTTTGATCCAAGCACGAACACTATTGAAGATGGTTTGGATCCGTCGACTTTTTTGCTCACTCCACATATAACGCTCTATTTTCAAAAATCGTTATATGCAAAAAAATCGAAATTTTCAAAATTTCTTCACAAAAGTGACTAAGTAATAGCATTTTGCCTTTCTAAGTTAGTATGAAAACTTTGGATCGTCTTGGGAAATTTTTTTAACCCGCTCTCATATAGCGAAAAGTGGAGTTCATATGACAAAAAGGTCTAATTTTCACTGCTTCATATTGAATATCAGATCATAATAATAAATTACAAGAGAAAAAGTCAACCGTACAAAATTTGGACCATCTCAACTCATTTTTGTGAATCCTCTCCTATATGTAAGGCTTTTCACGAAAGTTGATACTTTATAGGGTAGAAATTTTAATATGTTATGATGAAAATTAATCCATAAAAGCAGTTTGATGTAAAAACGAACTCTACAAAATTTAGACCACATACACCTAATTTTCTATCTTGCCCTATATAGGGATTTTCACGAAACTTGATCCTTCATGGAGCGGAAAAGTCGACATTTTAATATATTCTCATGAAAATTGTCCTATAATAGTAATTTGATATACGCCAATTTTTGAATCCTTCAGTCTATAAGGATTTGAACGAAAATTTTTGTCCTTAGGAGAGAAAAGTCTAAGCTTCAATATTGTGTAATGGAAGTTGTACGTACCGTAATTATTAAACCTCTTGGGCACAACTGTTCTTACGACTATAATGCTTTTGCCCCTTTCTTTTCGTTGAAGTTAATATAATTGAAACCACCACGAAACTTAAGCCTGTTGCATAGATTAACATAGTGTTTGGATAACTTATAAGGAAAATTTGTTATACTCTTTATCGATAACAATGTAGATAAACAATGATAAAAATAAACGATTGATTATCTTTTTTTTTTTTTTTAATATAGAGAGGAATATCAGGGTATTCTTACATTCTACATTCCCTTATCGAGCATTAAATGGTCGCAGATATTCGGCCTAATGGAACGTAATCGAGATCAGCTTAATATTGAGGATTATTCGATTAGCCAAACCACCCTGGAAGAAATTTTCCTTGATTTTGCCAAACATCAACGTGAAGATGCTCGGGTTGTTAATTAATTAATACAATAACTGTGAACTGTAAATGAAACTATGCGCCTTACTATTTATTTATCTACAGCATAGTAGTTAATAATAATATATTATATAAGTAAATTTTTTTGTTTTTTAATAAAAAATCTTATATTCGTATAAATGTAATAATACATGTGTGTGTGTGTGTGTGTGTTTGTGCTATAATTGCTATTATTATTCTTATTAATTTTTGCATTACCAACACATTGTGCGTCGGACCATGGTCTATGCGTTCGTTATGCTATGGTATGCTTTTCAAATCGCAGTGTTTTCAATTCTCTGTTAGATAGATTTTTTTTTCATTTATAGTCCTTTTAGGTCATATTGCACATGTCTCTCCTTCTGCTCCTTCTACTCCTTTTGCGCTCATAATTATGGATGTAAAACGGCTCTGTTCATATTCGAATACGATGTTCATTTTTGTGAATGACATGTGATATCACATGTGTTGTATTTGTTAGCTATTGGTGCTTCTAGTTGCCACTACTTTCGACGAATGCCTCGTAATATATCCGAGCAAGGCGTTCATTCTAATGACGATGCCAAGACATTGGACGTTTTGTAGAAATTCTTAAATTACAAATCATTCGGCCGGCCGACTAACTATGTTTTTGAGAGAAACTGACGTAATCGATTTAGCTTAAATTGTCAGATTAAAGCACATTCAATCAAAATCAGTCTGTAAGGTATCATACTGGTACAGAAAATTGTTGGCTTACTTAACTCAACTAATAAACAACTAAGAAAATTGTAGTGAGACACGGCCCGCCATTAAACCGCCGTACACCATTTTGCTTAGCAGGTGTACTCAAAGAAGGACTTTTCACAGCAACGTATTATATGAGACGTGGTCGAAAAACTGATTCGATCCGAAACATTACTAAAAGCGTTCGTCCTTGTCATGTACCATATTTCATAAAAATGCTTCAAAAATTGTGACTTGTGGATTGAACACAAAAGACAAGACGGACAGACAAGCCTAGATCGTTTTAGAAAATGATTCGGAACCGATCGGCATAATAAAAGTTAGATTTATTATCAAGTCGTTGTGGGTGTTGCTTACATCCGCTTCAATTTAATAGACCCTTGTACCACAAGTAGTATAGGTTATGAAACAGAAAGGAATTCTTATTTTTTTTTTTTTTTTCTTTAACATAGATTAAAAATATGGCAAAACTTCTTCTTATTACTAAAATTCCAAAAATTTCCACTTAAATGTCGAACGGGCAAATTTATAAACATGACTAGTTCAATTAATGTTAAGGATGTTGATTGAAATTCCACTGACACAGTCCGAGTTTCAATTAGTTTTTTTAATTGAAATTTCGCAAAGTTAATAATAATTTGATTATATTGATGCTTTTCAATAGACCGCCAAGCAATTATGATTATATGGCACAAAATTTGGCATTCTGTCAAATGGAGCAAATGTGACTATACGAAACCTTTACTCCAATGTCAGGAGCATTAACTAGCATCCGTCGTTATGGTAAAAAAGAATGTAATGACGGACAAGCTTTTTAATTAAAAATTGTACATATCCCCTTACCATCTGTTTTAAATGTAATTTAGTGGAACCCTTTTCTGAAATACATTCATGTTTCCCTTATATACATGCATATATACGTGTTTTGTTTTTCGCTTTCGCTTATTATAACCTATTCCTCACATCGCTTGTTGCACGAGTATATTAGAGTTGTGCGGATGCATGCAATAAACGCTTCAAAGCAACTTAAGATAGATTCAATTTTTGTTATTGATATTTCATCAATTTAAGTTCGTCTCTCTGCGACTATCTTATGGATGTTTATTCATATATTTTTCCTTTTAACCTAAAGATCGCAATTTTCGAGATAGTTCAATGATATTTGGTACACTATTGAAAATGGATTGAATTAGAGCATTTTCACGGCCCCTCTCTATATCTTACATAAATCGGTTTTAAAGAAGTCGTCATATGTAGAATATAGGCAAGTCTACTTTCCGTCCAACGTCGCATATAAGGGAAACCTTGACAAAAGGGTATAATTATTATTTTACGGCGAAATAAAATGAAAAATGATAAGTTATTTAAGCTCTAGTAAACTTGGATTATGTCGGTTCGGATCGGTATGGGCTCGCTTTAATTATTTATTTATTTATGAAACTCAGTTAAGATCAATTAACAGCCGAATTCAATTGACTCCTGGAAATAAATCTTATACTAATTATTATTAAGAACTGATGCAAAGTATATAAGTATAATAAAAATAAGGAAACAAAATGCATGTATACAACTAGCACAGAGACACGCCCACAACCGGTTGAGCGGCCCTAAGTGGCAGCCTTCAGGAACAGCAAACGTCACGGAAAATTCATCCGTGCCGATGAAGTTAAACAAAAACCTGAGTAAATCCTTTTCAACACGTATAAAGAGAGGCCTGGAGTTTGACCTTGAACTTTCTTTTTGCATGCTGCAAACGTTTTGATAAAAGAATGAGTTTTTAACATTCTATAATATTGAGTAGGCGGGACCGATTTTTCCCATTTGCGTGTAGGTGCCGCAAGACCAACCGCAATATATAAATGCGAATTTTTAATATTGTGCCTGTTGCGGCTTACGAGTATACGAGCAAAGAGATAGTTCATTCTTTTATATTGCGTAGCAGAGATGTTCTCAGGTTTTCTTTTATTCTGGTCGTGTCCTTTAACCGATTCAACTTCAGATCGGAGAAGGTCAACTCGCTGCTTGAAGTCTGGTACCTATAAGCAATAATACAGTGAGACGCGACCACGATGGAACTGGGCGTGAATACAACTGAATAGGATCTGTAATGATAATCGTACATGATATAAACTCGCCTGAGCTTTTGAGCGAAAATAAATAAAGGCAATGGGAAATGTCATGAACTGGGAACAGTTGTATAGATATGGTGTAGCCTTGTTTATGGTATCGAAACATATTTATTACTAGATAGGCGGAATTTCTATACACATTAAAGGAAAATTAATTAAACCGGAGTGACTTTGTATCGTATATATCATACTGTTCTTACCATATTTGGCTTATATTTATGTACATTTGAAATTTTTCTAAAGCACGTTCGTTCAAAATTTGCAACTTTGCTGTTACTGGTATTAGACGATATTAGATCTTGAAAGCATGTGTACTCTATGCGATTTCTAATGCATATTTCTGCATATTACTCCTACAAGAAGTAGCAAAGTCAACTTATCTCATACATACATTGGAAGGCACTTATAAACACTTCAGGTAAATAATGCCTTTGGATGATTGTACATCAGTGTCCAAGGCAACATATAAACAGTCGTTGATTATGTTACGACAGTTTAATTAATACGTATGCTACATATATTATTAGTGTATGGACTTGTATATACTGTCAAAGAAAAAATTCGTGGCAGTATGATAATCGATAGACAATTTATTTGTGAAGAAAATTAATAGCATTTATAATGAAGATTAGCAGAAATGCTAAAAGTTCTATAGCGGTGGCATAACGATCTTAATGGAAAGTTGGAAAAAATCTCTCGACCAAAATGGCACGTATCTGGTTTAAATAAATATCATTGAATGCATAAGAAAACTGAATTTGAACCATGTAGGAAGAAACGCCACGAATTTTCTGCTTCTTGATCTAATATTTTTGCACGTGCGCATATACATTTCAACATATATCTATAGGAGAGGCGGCCATTTTAATAAATGACAGCAAGAAAAAATATACACTTGGCTTGAGTCGAATTTTTTAACACTTACCGCTAGCTTTTGCATATCATATATTTTATATAGATCTATAATACTATATACATCTTCAAATTATGTATATGTATATAAAAAGTAAGTTTTCAACAAAACTCAGGCACATTTTATTCACAATTTGAATGCACTCCGTAACGTAGTCGTGAACATTACAAAACATGTTCGCCAGCATTTCCTGAAAAGATGTAAAATCTTACTCATAGATCTTTTTTTCATTACACTTGGTTTTTTTTAATTCTCATTATAGATGGGATCATGGAAATTGTAATGAGAAAAACGAATGTAAAGACAAACCTATTGCTCTTAGCAAAATTTTCAAATTATAATTTAAGCAAACAAGAGATCGGTATTTCGACAGATGAAGATTATCAAAATTTCTAAACCGCCAGTGTATATTTTTGTATGTGTTGCAAACGTTTGCCGAATCTATTATATCCTCTATGGTGAATGTAAACAGTACCTTTAAAGAACTAATGTCCTTGTATGTGTATTCTTCCACACAAGAACAGCTGTGATCATACGTTTATATTACAGTTAGTACATACATACATACATACATACATACATACATACATACATACATGCATGCATGGGACTACATGGTGTACATTATTTAAAACATGAATTTGAATAACAATATGGGCGCCCAAACAAGAGCTTTAAGCATTGGAATGTATGACTGTTGCACAAAATGTGGTCCTTGTGGTTTGTATATAGAGCGCAGCTTATGAAGTATATTAATTTTGGCATTCTATTCGCCCGGTCTCGCAAAGCATAAAGACACTCGATGCGTACATGGATTGATTCAGGGACGGACAGTTCGAATTATACGCGGGCAAGCTCTCGATGTAATCGGTTAATGCGAAAGTTGACGTATTTCAAGTCGAAAAATAAGCTTTTTATTTTCTTGAGCATCAAATTATTTATTAGTTATAGTTGCTTAGGATCAAGTCTTGGTAACCCTTCAATTACACGTAAGACCTCTCCGAGTAAGTGGCGGTTTCCTTGAGCTGACATAATAAATGAATTTTCAATGTATTTCTCTTTAATATCATAATACCAAGAACATTTCTTTATTTATGCTGCTGATGCAAGGCAAAAAAATTTGAGGTTATATATATTGTTAACTTAATTTAAATTAATACCATCTCTGTCATTGATATATATATATATATTTGTATTATATCTCCATAATATATTCAGTGCTAGTATAGGTTACGATTGTAATGAGTGAATTATTAACATTTTGATTCGGCTAACCGAATCAGGGCACTAATTACGTATGGGGTTAAA